CCCCAAAACCCCAAAACCCCAAAACCCCAAAACCCCATTTTAGAATTTTTTGTTAGAAAATTTAAATTAAGATGGAAGAGAGTAAAGATCTTGAACGCAGGTAAGCCTCCGTTTTGAGAGCAGAATTGTAGTACTGGGTTTAATCAGTCGGTATAGAGGCCCAGACACTGATCTGATTGAAATCTCAAAGAATTACTTCGAGAATATGATTAATATGTGCGATGAGAGAAAAGCCCTCATTTTGGACGAGGACACACTGGGTTATATCTCTTTGAACTATTCCAGATCAAACTTATTGGAGAAAAACGTATATTTCTTTGATGTCATTGATCGTAAAGGCACTGAGAAGCTTAATCATTTGGTAGCCATCTTCTTTGTGAGAAACACCAATGACAATTTTCAGAAAATCAAGGAAGAGCTTGAAGATCCCTTGTTTGGTGCTTACTATCTTGTCTTTGCTAATCCAATTGAAGATGAAAAATTACGTGAGCTAGCAGAAGCTGATAGGTTTGATAAGGTCAGAAGAGTCTTAGAAATTTTCGCTGATTTTTATGCTGTGAATAGAGATCTGTTCTCCTTCAATATCCCTACATCAATGGATCTATGACTTCACGAATCAGCTATGACTCCTGCTACTCATGTCAAGAACAATAGAATCTTGCAAGGTTTATTATCAGTAGTTCTGTCATGCAGGAAGCAGCCATATGTAAGATTCTCAAAGCATAGTAATCGTGCTGCTAAACTGGCTGACTCTTTTGTCAGTTACATGTCAAGTGAAGATGAACTGGTAGCTAGATCATCAAAAGACGATGAAAAGTGAACCCTTCTGATCCTTGACAGGAAGGATGACCCTGTTACTCCTCTTCTCAACCAGTGGACTTATCAAAGTATGGTCCACGAACTGATTGGTATCACCAAGCACAGAGTAAAGCTCGCTGACAAGAAGGAAGAAATCGTTTTGAATCCTGATGAAGATGAATTCTTTAAGAAAAATATGTACAAAAAATTTCCTGAAGTCCAGAAGGAACTCGAAGTATTGCTCACACAGTTCAAGGAGAAGGAGAAAAGCAGAGCCAAGATTGATAACATCAAAGATATGCAAAGGATGGTTGAGAATTTCCCAGAGTTCAAGAAATTTGCAGGAAAAGTTACGAAGCATTACTCAGCATTTGGTGAATGTAGTGACAAGATCACTAAAAGAAAGCTCTTCTCTGTATGTGAACTTGAACAAGATATTGCTGTTAAGAATTCCAAGTCTGAACAAGTCAAAGAGATGAAAGAGATTCTTGAAGACCCTGAAGTTGATCAATTTGAGAAGATCAGATTAGTAATGTTATTCTCTCTGAGATATGAAGGTGACTCTAATGTCAAAAAGTTTAGAACAATGCTCCGGGAATCCAACATTAGCCCTGATCATATTGATTTTATTGACTTTCTAATCCAATATGCAGGGAAGGATAAGCGCTCAAACTTCTTATTTGGGAAAAATACTGGCCTACTTAAAGGAGCCATGGATTTGATCAAGTCTAACTTTACAGAAGAGGACGAAAGTGTTTACACCAGACATAAATCTTGACTGTTTAACATTATTGGGCAGATGGTTAAAGGAAAATTGAGTGAGTCTGATTTCCCATTTTCTACACAGAGCCCAAGAGATACCAAGACCAAGGATATCATTGTCTTCATTTTAGGAGGAGCTACCTACCAAGAAGCCAAGGAAGTTGCTGATTTTAACAACTCTGATCCAAATTTCAATGTGATTCTTGGTGGAACTACAGTTCATAATTCCAAGAGTTTCCTTGCAGAAGTAACAGAAGTTAGAGATTACGGACTTTAGTTAACAAAATTCAATCAAAATAGCATCAAAAGGGGTTTTGGGGTTTTGGGGTTTTGGGGTTTTGGGG